AGTTCATGGTGCTGTCAGCGGCTGCAGTCCTGTCTTTGTGAATCTGCTCCAGCATGTCACAAATGCAAGGGTTTCTCAGCATGTGGATGGTGGTGTGTTTGCAGGACCTGTCGGAACAACACCAGAAGACCCTGACCCTGCTGAGGAAGCAGCAGACTCTGATCCTGGATGAGGAACTCATCCAGTGGAAGAGGAGGCAGCAGCTGGCTGGCAACGGAGGTCCTCATGAGGGGGGACTGGATGTCCTGCAGTCCTGGTATATACTAAACTGTTACAATCATTTTAACTGGCATATTATATTTTAGGACAGAGCTTTACCTCCCTCTTTTCTGATGTAGAGGGAAGTTTGAATTTTCTAACATAAAATATAATGTCTATAAAAAGCATAAACCTATAGACAGGCTGTATATCCACTAACATAGAGGAACCCTGCCTCATTTTCTCCTCTTCTCTTTTACTTCTTCACTGTGGCGGTGTGTCTACTGTCCACCAGGTGTGAGAAGCTGGCTGACCTGATCTGGCAGAACCGGCAGCAGATCCGACGCTGTGAACATCTCACCCAGCAGCTTCCTCTGCCGGGCCCCATGGAAGAGCTGCTGAGCAAACTCAACAGCGACATCACCGACATCATCTCTGCCCTGGTTACTAGGTGAGAACTAGACGTCGCCGCTTCAGTGTAGTGTGGAGGTCGTGGCAGTGCCTGTGGACTGGCAGGTGGCACTGAAAAGCCAGGGTTCTGAAAAAGGAGAATCCAACTGACACCGAGTGTCTGATGTGGTGACCCCAGGATTCCATTTTTACTTTTCGCTAATGATGTAGTTCACCTGGTTCTGTCAGATTGTGACCTCATGGTGACTCCTCTGGTTGTATAGAAGTCTATGAGAAAATGACTACTTCTCTCTTGATTTATTACCTCAGTAAACATTGTAAACATGAGTTTATGCTCTCAATCTCTAGTTTCAAGTCTTCTTCAATACAGCATGATGTTCATTTAGTACATTATGGTCCATTTAGAGTCAAACAGACCATAAAGCAGGGGATGCTTTAGGGCGGGGCTACACAGTGATTGACAGGTCTCTACCAGAGACTTATAAGGTGTCTCTGCGTTGCTACTCCACATTCCAAATATGGTCACTTCCGTTAACTCGTTGCAAAATACCAAGATGGCGATGGCCAAAATGCCAAACTCAAGCCATCAAAACTGTAGTCCACAAGCCAATGGGTGACGTCATCCACTTATTAGAATAGAATAGAAATATACTTTATTCATCCCCAAGGGGATATTTGTCTGTGGCAGCAGCAAACAAGGTTACACAATAAAATTAAAATAAAAATATTAAATATGGAAAATGCACAATATATACAATATAATAAAATAACAGAGCAGGACCTATTAAATTTAAGAAAATAAAGTAAATAAAAATGCACAGTATATACACTAAATATAATCGTATTCAATTAACTAAGTAGGAAAAAATAAACAAAACAGTAGTGCACAAGATCACCAACCGCACCGCTACAACAGTGTAGCGGTGTTATAGTTCTGTAGATGATCTGGCCAGAGGTGATATATTATAAAGTCTAATGGCAGAGGGCAGGAATCTTCTCCTGTATCGGTCCTTGTGACAGCGGCACTGAATCAGTCTGTTGGAGAAAGTGCTCCGCTGTCCCTGCAGTAGGTGGTGGAGAGGGTGGTCCGGGTTATCCAATATGGATAATAATTTCTTCAGTGTCCTCCTCTCTACCACCTCTTCCAGATAGTCTTGTTTGCAGCCAATAATGGAGCCGGCCTTCTTAACCAGTTTGTTGAGTCTGTTGGTGTCTCCGGCTCCAATGCTGCTCCCCCAGCAGACTACGGAGAAGTACAGTGCACTGGCCACAACAGACCGATAGAACATCTCCAACATCTTGCTGCACACGTTGAAGGATCGAAGTTTCCTCAAGAAGAAGAGTCGACTCATCCCCTTCTTGTACACAGCGTTGATGTTGGTCTTCCAGTTCAGTCTGCTGTTGATGGAGACACCCAGGTACTTGTACTCCTCCACCATGTCCACATCCTCTCCCTGAACTCTCAGCGGTTGTGGAGCCGTCGTCTTCCTCCTGAATCGACCACCATCTCTTTGGTCTTGGCCACGTTCAGACGCAGGTGATTTCTACCGGCCCACTCCACAAAGTCATCCACTACTGCCCTGTCCTCCTCCTCCCGTCCGTCCCTTATACACCCGACCACTGCAGAGTCATCAGAGAACTTCTGCAGATGGCATGACCCTGAGTTGTACTGGAAGTCAGTGGTGTACAAGGTGAACAGGAAGAGAGACAGAACAGTTCCCTGTGGGAACCAGTATCACTGACCACCCCGTCAGACAGCACACGGCCCAGTTGGACAAACTGTGGTCTGCCTGTGAGGTAGTCAGTGATCCAGGAGACGGTGGATGCGTTAACCCCCACCACCCGCAGCTTCTCACTCAGCAGCACTGGTTGGATGGTGTTGAATGTACTGGGGAAATCAAAGAAAGTGATTCTCACAGAGCCACCGGTTCCATCCAGGTGCGACTGAGCTCGTTGCAGCAGGTAGATGATGGCGTTGTCCACCCCCACATGAGGCTGGTATGCAAATTGCAGAGGGTCCAGTGAGGATTTCACCTGCGGTCGGAGGTGGGCCAAGACCAGCACCTTCATCACATGAGATGTGAGGGCAACTGGTCGGTAGTCATTGAGGCTAGATGGTGTCGTCTTATTTGGTACGGGAACCAGGCACGATGTCTTCCACAGCACCGGGACTTCCTCCTGCTTCAGGCTCAGGTTGAAGAGATGTTGCAGTACATTAGACAGCTGGATGGCGCAGGGGGGTGTCATAGTGTCGGTGGTGGCAGAGCCCTTTGAAGTGGGCCCTCTGAGTCCATGCAGCTCACCAGGGGGGACAGAGGGGGATGTGTGGTGTGTGGAGGAGACAGATGAGGGCTCTGAGCTAAACCTGTTGAAGAAAGAGTTTAGCTCGTTGGCCCTCTCCAGGGAGCCCCCTGGTTGTCTCCCTCCAACCTTGAAGCCGGGTTATCTGCTTCATTCCGATCCACACCTCCTTCACGTTGTTCTGCTGGAGTTTGGCCTCCAGCTTCCTCCTGTAGGAGTCCTTGCACTCCCTGAGCTTCACCTTCAGGTCGCGCTGGACTCTCCTGAGCTCGTCCCTGTCCCCAGACCTGAAAGCTGCTTTCTTCTTATTAAGAAGAGCTTTCAGGTCACTGGTGATCCATGGCTTGTTGTTGGGGAAGCAGCGTACAGTCCGGGATGGAATGGTGGTTTGTTCACAGAATTTGATATATTCTGTGATACAGTCGTCATGCTGTTTATGTCCTCCTCATGTGGTCCACACAGCACATCCCAATCTGTAGACTCAAAGCAGTCCTGCAGGGCATCATTAGCCTCCTGAGACCACCTCCTCACAGTCCTGGTGGTCACAGGCAGCCTCTGTACCAGAAGAACATACCTGGGTGTCAACAGGATCAGGTTGTGATCAGACCTGCCAAGGGGGGAAGGGCAGTGGCACTGTATGCATCCTTGGCATTAGCATACAGAAGGTCCAGAGTTTTATTGTTCCTTGTGGGGCAGTCAACATACTGGTGAAAAGCTGGCAGGGCTTTATCCAGGGTGGATTATATACAGTCTATGATATTACTCTTTTCTTATTCATTGAATAACTGACACTACATTTAGTTGACCCCATGATTGATGTCTTATTCATTCAGATCCTATGATCCCATCACTTACTTCTCATGCACCCTGCCTCCACCGAAGGTGTTCTACTAAAGAGTTTGTGTTCAACCTCCCTCTTTATTAGAGACTCGGTGTGCAGTGTAGTTCCATATTTACAGTGCTGCTTAACCACAGAATTACATTGCACAAATATTGAATACAGTTTTTGTTTCACTTCTCTTCCAATGCTCGCACACTGGAGGTATCAAACCGCTCAGCCTCCAGGAGAACGTATTTGCAAGGGTGCTGGAAACTGACCAGTTGTTGACTTTCCGATTTAAAGAGGAGAAATTTCTATCTTGCCCATTGAGCAGTGGAGCCGTGTTTTTACTCATGCATGGACACTTTAGAGGTCAGTTTGTGGTTTGCATGTGCTTTGTGGACATGGAGACGGCTTGTTCTTGCTATCTTGTGGGGTTTGCTGCAAGAGTATAGAGAGCCGGTGCCGATGCCACAAGCAACTTTTGTCCGTGTATCACTGCTGCTTCTGCTCATGGACATAATCTCTTTTCCTAAACCGCCCATCCATACACTGAGCTGCTGTCCATGCATTAATACCTCTGCCCTTTGACAACTCAAATCCTCTCATGAGAGAAAATATTGACTAACTCATCCTGTCATTGTCCCCCCTTCTCTTCAGTACCTTT